ATGTAAACATTTTCCACCAGGCGCCCAAGCACTCCCATCAGCGTTCATGCATTTCATGGCCTGTAGGCCTATCCATCCCTTCCATTATTCAAGTTTCATTTAGTGATCTGGGAATGTATAAAAGGTTAAACCTTTGTTTCCCATCATGTGATTCGAACAATCAACGACAACACAGTTTCTTGGCATTTTCACGCAAAAAAAAAAACGAAATTCTCAGAAAAATTAAGCGACTTTGTAAGCAAAGCGTTGTGATTTTTCGAACGAACGAGGGTTTGTTTTCACCAAGTGCTCGTTGCTAGGGGCGGTTGCTAGGCGTTACCGAATCGGTCTATATTGTTATAATTACCAGAAGTAAAATAAATGTTTTCCTCTTTTTATGATAACTAGGAGTACCTTGCCATTAACAGCCATCAGAACACTTGGGGAAAAGTCGATTTAATTTTCGGGTTCAATAGGCTATATGGAAGTTGAGCTACCTGTTTACATGTACTTTGCAATCCAAGAGTAATAGGCCAAGAATCACTGGCTACTTTATCACATGGTTCATCAAAATACAATTCCTCTTCAGGCATGACATAAATCATGCTTATGTTTCAAACACATGTTTCAAATAATTACATTTAAATATTTTTTGAAATCAACAAAGAACAAATGTAAATATACTGCATCATTCCATAAGGATGCCTCTTCTGCTTTCCACATTGATTTATTGGATACGGTCTTGAATCCAATTTGGGCGCCATCATCGAGTAATCAAACAGAGCAATAATAAAATATGCATAAACAAATGAGCCCCCCGAAAAAGACTATAATATGAAATATTTGCTTCGCCATATATCTCTCATTGATTTCACTTCAAACATTCGAATAGATGTGAAATTGCAGAGAAGGCATTTGAAGTTCTTTTACCTTACTACAGAATTTATGTTGTTAGATCTTATCTCGTTATTATGTGAACACCAATTTATTCAGCCAGCTGTACAAATGCGTATCAAGGTACGGTCAGACTACCCATAGATTCGTGAAATCCAGCGATTTTTAGTGGAATTTGCCCATCAATGGACTCATTCCACTGACATTAGCCCACACGTTCGATGCGATGGATACCTACTCGCAATTGGTAGACGAATATAAAATTGCGCACATAGAGACTATAGTTTGATATTATGCATATATTTTCATTTCAAAGCATTAACATTATTACATATTTTAAATTCATATTTAGTTTAACATCTTTATTTAGCTAAAATACGAATAAAAAGTGAAAAAAAGCATTGACTCTGGATTCTCATTTGGTTGACGAATATAAACAAATGCGCAGTCGCCAACTTCAACTTGAAATCGCAGATCCTGTGAATATTCCAAATGTGGAATTTTGAAGCAATTTACTCCTGGAAAATGTTAGAAATCCGAAAACATGAAAAAAAAAAACAACAAGAGTAAGGGAGAAGATTGTAGGATCCATAGCGACTTTCTGCGATTTTTTTGATGCCGCGATTCCACTGGACAAAGCCGATGGTTCTTTTCGCAGTCCGAACACCATGGATGGGTAGGATGGTTCCAACCCACAGAAAATTGCTTGATTCCAGTGAAATTTATGGGTAGTCTGACCGTACCTATGTATGACGAGTAGATTCTACACATGAATATGAATTTTTACGTCTACTTTATATGATTGGGAGGCGTAATGATTAGGGTTGGAAGAACGATGGAAATGGAAGGAATAAGGGTAGCTTGAAATGAGATGGAAAAAATTGACCCAAGTGACGTGAAAAACGAGAGAAAATTGATGCTGAGAAATTCATCACGAAACTTTATCGAGGGAATAAGCCAGTGACAGAAACTCCATATAGAAATAGCACAAAGCTGCAGCCAAAGAAAGCAAAATGACCTTTTTTCTTTTTTTTTTTTTGTTTGTTTGTAGCATTGCACTGTTTGTTTGTGTATGTGTGTATTGCCTTCATATTATTTATCTGATTTCTTGTGTGTAGATGTGGAAAGAAAGAAATGGTGATATATATGTGTATATATATCCTTTTTCTTTTTACGTGCATTTGAATACGGCTTTGTTTTCAGAATTATATTACCGTGTATTCAGTCAACCGATCATTTTAGCCATTTCTCCGTTTTCATTTCAGGTCCCCACAAAATTTTGTTGCGGTCAAGTGAGCCACAATAATGGGGAAAAAGAAGTGGAAGAATAATTCCCGAGATTCAGAATATGAGAAGAGTGACAAAGAGGCAGATAAAGTCCACGAAAAGGCACAGGCGAAAGAAGATGCCGGGAAAGGAGATCAAGAGCAGAATGAAAGATTGGCTGACAATGGAAACAAAAATGAGGGAGAGGCAAGCCCACAGAACAAGAAACAAAAAACAGAAAGAGAAAAAGTCAAAGAACACAAGTGATTAATCAGAATTCAAGTGACCAGATAAATCGACAATTTATAGATGGCCAAGTAGATTACCACAGTGAAGATTCTTCTCGGCAAGTTCAAGACAGAGACCATGGGAATGAAGACAGCAAATATTCGTCAGAGGAACGTCAAAGCAGAGTACGTGGGAGTGATGAATATTCGTCTAAGAAAGATCGAAGCGAAGGACATGGAAATGAAGACAGCAAATATTCGTCAGAGGAAGGTCAAAGCAGAGTACGTGGGAGTGATGAATATTCGTCAAAGAAAGATCGAAGCGAAGGACATGGAAATGAAGACAGCAAATATTCGTCAGAGGAAGGTCAAAGCAGAGTACGTGGGAGTGATGAATATTCGTCTAAGAAAGATCGAAGCGAAGGACATGGGAATGAAGACCGCAAAGATTCGTCAGAGGAAGGTCAAAGCAGAGGGCATGGGAATAAAGTTGATGATCTGTCACAGGAAAATCAAAGTGGAGGACATAGATTTGAAGATCAGCAATATCCATCAGAGAAAGGTCGAGGCGGATTCCATGGGAATGAAGATCGTGTTTTTTCTTCAGCGGAAGGTCTAAGCAGAGGACAAGGGTATACAGATAAAGGTTATCTGTCTCAGGAAGGTCAAAGCGGGCATATCAGTGATCGTGAACATCCATCAGAGAAAGGTCGAGGCGCAGTCCTTGGGAGTGGAGACAGTGCTTATTCTTCAGGGAAAGGTCTAAACAGAGAACGTGGGAATGCGGATAAGGATCATGTGGCACAGGAAGATCGGGGCGAAGGACATGGAAATGGTCATGCTTATTCGTCAGAAGGAGTTCCATACAGACACCATGGGAGTGAACAGGATTACGGGTCACAGGAAGGTCGAAGCGGAGGACGTAGCAGTGAAGGTCATGGATATCCATCAACGGAAGGTCGAAGCGAAGGACGTGGAAATGACCGCGCTCGGTTGTTAGAGGAAGGTCTAAACATACGTCATCGGAATGAAGGTCAGGATTATCAGGCAAAGGAAAGTCAAAGCGGAGGACATGGCCGTGAAGGTCATGAATATTCACCAATGAAAGGTCGGAGCGGATTCCACGGGAAAGAAGGTCATGCTCCTTTGTCAGAGGCAGAAGGTCTAAACAGACACCATAGGAATGAAGGTCAGGATCATCTGTACCAAGGAGGGCGAAGCGGAGGACAAAGGAGAGAAGATTGTGATTATTCGTTTCAAGAAGGTCGGGACAGGCGATATAGGGATGAAGATCAATATTATATGCCACCTCGTGAGTATTCGCCTTATGAAGCAAATAAAGGTCAAGACAAAGGTCAATGGAATGGATATTATGGTTCGACACAGAAAGGTCAAAGCAAAGGTCAATGGAATGAATATGATTCGACACAGAAAGGTCAAGGCAGAGGACGAAGGAAAGGGCATCGTGATTATCCGTTTCAAGGTCATGACAGACGATCATCAATGACGACACAGAAAGGTCATGAGCGTTTCATTTCGTGATTATCCGTTTCAAGGTCATGACAAAGGACAGTGGAATAAGGATTATGGTTATTCGTCTCAGAAAGGTCAAGGCAGAGGACAAAGAAATGAGGATTATGGTCATCCGTCACAGAATGATCGAGGAAGAAATTATCGGGAAGAATACTCGTATGACAAGCAAGGTCGAGGCAAATACCAGAATAGACAGGAGTCTGATGCAGAGAGAAATGGCAGGCACAACAAAAAGGCACTGACTCCCCAGATGCGGTGAGTATAGTACCAGTTTTATCTTTTAAAGGTTTATAAATAAACCCATTCTGTAATTTTCTTTTCGTCTTGTCTTCACTGGGCCACTACACGCACACACACACACAGCTCAAGTAATAGGCTTCTTAGTGATTATACTAGTTTTTGTTTTGGTATTTGCCTCTGTAGCCGGGACGAAACACCAACACAACGGTTCTTAAGGCCAGGGAAGTATTCCTGAGTATATGGGGATCCCTAGATACACAAGGTAATATGACTGTCCCTTTACACCCACCCCCCACCCCCCACCCCACCCCTTTACCTGACCAGACACTCAGCGTTCCTAAACGGGGATCCCCAGCCATACACAACTAGTGTGACCATTGGTTAAAGATATATAGATATAGATAAAGGAGTTGTGTGAGAGATATTTAAATACAAGCATTTATTCAAAATATATATTTGTGTATATCTAGCAATATAATAATATAACCTGTGAATATTATCTCTAATTTTACAGAGCCGCGTTAACTTGCAGTGAGTGCGATTCATTCTATAGTAATGAAAATCGTAAACCAAAATGCCTTCAGTGTGGCCACACGATATGCTCTGTGTGTGCCTCTCATTTGATTCACCGATCAATAATTGGGTGCCCTAAATGTACCGAGCCTACCCGTGCTTCATCTGTGAAGGATCTGCAAGACAATTTTGAGCTTCTGCGCATGCTTGGCAGGTTAAAGGATGTACCTGAAGCATCCAGGGAAAAAACGCCGCCGTTAGTGTCCCCGCATGGCAGCAAGTGTTCTGAGCAGGGAATCTCGCCAACACACTTTTGCACCAAGTGTGAACAGTGGATTTGTAAAGCAT